TCTACAACGACGTCATCCATGTACAGGCATAAGAAAATGCACCTACTGCAGCGCTATCAGCAGGAACAACAACAACATCAGCAGCAGCAACATACATTAAATACTGCCATACCGCCAGCTAAATGTGATAGCAAGGCCAGCACACCAGAGCTGCTAGAGCGCGAGTTTGCATCGCTAAGTGAAAATGCACAGGTAGTGGAGCTGGTACGTGCTACATCCACACAGAGTAACTCAAGTAGCAGCTGCAGCAATAGTCAAAATAGCAACGCTACTTGCCGCAACAAGCAGTTGGCGAGAATCGCTGAGCTGCCGCCACGTAAGTCACCAAGGGAGCATGCATCCACATTAGCCTTGGTAAGTTGCATTATACGACAGCGACAGGATTCACAAAGCAAGACAAACTCCGAGGTTGACGAACCGTCAGCACCACCTGCGAATTTAATTACGCCCATGTTGAAGATGCCATTGAAGCAGGAGTCAGTTGCGTCAGTTGCATCGACTTTAACTTCTCACAACACGCGTTCACAAGCTGCCACGCCAGTGGAGGAACTGCGCTTCGCCACCGAAATAAGTGAGACTGTAAAACGTATGCGACGTGGACAAAACAAGTATGATACTCTGCCAGCTACTCCATCACCAGCGCCGGCACAAATACCCACGCCAGCCAGATGCCGACGGCCAACAGCAGCAGCTGCTGCCAGCTATTCTAGTCGACTTCAATTTCCAGGAAGAGAGGTAACCACAACCGTCATGTTGAGTAAGCGAAAGCGCCGCCAGTTAGCGCCAACGCCTGCTATGCGCCTGCCTCAACAGCAGCCACCGGGAATGGCCCTAGTAGATGGCGTTCGTAAGCTTCCTAGTAAGAAGGGGCAACTGGAATATGAAATGGAGGCCAATGCTCTGAAGACATTGGATGCGAATATCGAATATGTGAATCCACTGCTAATCTCCTGGCAAATTGATAAATATCTAGAACTGACCGGCCGGGAATATGATCTTAGTGCGGAGGAACAACTGCCGCTCTTACAGCCAACTGCGCGATACTGCGAGGATGTTAATTTTCCTTCGGATGTGCACACGCCCCCACCTACGGATTTCTGTTTTACCAGTGAATTTGATCTTTGCGATTTGTTGGCTGCAAGTGCTGGGAGTGAAGATGACGAAGAAATATCTACTGCGCGTTCAGGTTGCCGAAGAAATAGTAGAATGAATTTGTATTGTAGTTACCAGCGTAAACGAAAATGCCTCAAATCGAATCGCACGGGTTGGCCCAGAGCTCAACGGCGTCGAGTGACGGCAATAACAAATGCGAGAGTGCAACCCAGCGAGCGAGTCAGTTTCCGTAAATTGAATATAAGGGAGTCCCATGGAGTGCAAAAGCTTCAGGATTTAAAACAGGAACCTCTAGAAACTGAAGAAGAGCATACGACAACGACCACAACCACAACGACCGATAAAGAAATTAGTAAAGAACAAGACGATGATAATTACGACGACGGCAGTGGTGGGTCAGGGAGTAATGGAGGGACTGCTGATAAAGAAAATCATACTCGCGAAGTTACTGCGATGACCCCTCCGACCACAGATGTTGAGGAACAAGTCCGATGTAGGGACCTTTCAGGCGATGAGGCTGCAGCGAGTGCGGACAATGAGAGTCAAGCCGATGATGACGATGATGAAACAATGGCTGATTCAGTTGATCAGCTGCGTGATGGTAAGGTAGAAATAGAAGCAACCGATGCGGATGTTGAAGAAGATGATGGTGAAGACGACTATGATGATGCGTTTGAAGACTCTTACGGTGGCGAGGTCACAAAACATGAACCGCTTACCGTGCCAAACTTCACTCAGTCATACGCTGATGAACCTCCCGAGAAACGTATTCGCATAATCTCCGAGTCACCCGCCAAAAGTTTAGAAGAAAACCATTCGCCAAAAAAGTCTTTGCTCGCACTACAGACCTCTAACGGATGTTGCCTGACTGTCACTTCCACTCCAAACGCGCCGAAATCTCGCGAACAGCAACAGCGCCGCACGCCACAGCTGAACGGAAGTCTGGGCAGCTGCATTTCTCCAAGTGAAAAACTGGGAGATAATTCTGACGTGTTTACCGTATCATCTGATGGTCTGGAAACCGACATGGACTTAAGCAACACTCAAGCTGGTGACTCACTAGAACATTGTTCTCATCAGCGGCTGCAGCAGACAACACCCAAACGCAAGTTTGACATCTCCAAGTATGCGCCCCCTAACAATGCTATGGCCGCCAGCAGCTGTGCCGCAGAGGCGGCCACTGCAGCGGTCAAATCGCTTGCCATATCGCAGTTTCTAAAAAAGGAGGTGCGTGTTACATGCCGGCGACTTCGAGCGCCCTTTCGCCGCTTTCGATATCGTCGCTGATCATCTTTATTGTCATCATTGTCATTAAAATCGTCATTAGTTTAAGTGCAAAATTGTAAATTCTGAAGAACAGAGAGTTCAAGATAATTGTTCATTAGGTTATCATAGTCCCTCCAAAAGCATATACAGTAGCATAGCTGTCCATACGACATCTGATTCCTCTCCCTCAGTCCCGCTAATGTACATTATTAAACATTCATATTCATTGTCTTGATTGTTCGAAACTTTAAATAATTCCACATATGCAGCTACTCCCCTGACATAGGTACCCAAAACCACACATAATTAGCATAATTTAAAATGCAATGTCAGCAACATACGTAAGATAAGATAAGTTTAATTTTAGCTTAGAACAAATTCCGTACTCTTTGATGCGCCCTAGCCTAGCCGACTTCCCAACAAAGAAAATGAAGAAACGATGCGAAAATACAGACATAAATTAGAATTAGCAAAAGTAGAACGATTAGATTAATTCAAAAAAAAAATATAAAAAAAGAACAGTACATTTCGTTTTTAAACAATATCAACTTGATGCTCAAATTATGTATAACAAGAATATAAAACCAAAAGCAACTGTAAAAACAAATAATCAAAGAGTACATTAAAAATATACAATTAAAAATATACAATTAAAGCGACTGCATTTCATTAAAAAATTCTAACATTATTTAATCGTATGTTTGTCCTAACTTTAAATTCTTTGATCCTATCCAGACTTGCGCAGGCTTATTAAATATGAAGAACGTTTGGCGACGAACTCGAAGGAGGACTATTTCAGCAGCCTTCATAAACGCGACACCATAAGTTCGCGCGCAAAAACGGGCGACAGTGAGAAAGAGAATGTACATCAGATTGATAAAGACAAAAGTAAGCAGCAACCCTCGGATGAAGACAAGGAACGCCTTATCAGTGGAAAAGTCGCTACGGACACCAATTTGAAGCTGGCAACCTTGTTTCGTGAAAAACTTTTGATAGATGAATCAAAAGAGCTACCCAATTCCAGCAATTGTGTGCGTCGCAGTCGCAGCAAAACAAAGAATGCTGCAAGCAGAAGCGAGGGTTGTCCCATCCAGGACACACGGCTCCCACGTCAGTCTAAATTGCGTAAATCTCGTCCGCGCAGTACTAGCCGCCTCTCAGCACAGGGTATGATACTCGCAATAGAACTTGTTTTTTGATTTTGATTTTTCTAAAGTTTGTAATCAGGCTAAGCACAAGCGAAACGATCCTGTGGCCTTGTACCAGTACTACCAGAACGAATGGAGCCATTTCCGTGACCGAATTCCAGGCGAAAACTCCCATACAGACCTACGGTGGGAAATACGTCACAAGCTTATTCCCAAGTAATACAACATAATGCAACATTATTGCCCAATTAATGTGTAACTGCCGTTAATAGAATATTCGAAAAATTAATGCAAAATAAAATATGAAAGATTCTGTATTTTCATTACGTACTAAGTACATGTTTAATATTTTTTTAAAAACTAGTTAATCCAAAGCCAATATAAACACTGAGCTGAGAAATGCCCATACATATGAAGACGACGCAAAATTTCTAGCCTGGCTTTTCATCTGGCACTGCGCTCTCCAAAAGCCAGACGAACGAATTCAGTCGACAGCCTGCCTTCAGCAAAGCTGCTCGACTGTTTATCAAAATATATACATATGTTTGTTATTCACTACAGTGGCTTTTGGTGCCGAAGAAATAAATTCTGTTAGTTTTCTAGCTCTGACCATGACCTATCCCAAATTCCTTCTCAATTTTGTGAAAATCAAGCTGCATATGGCGTTACTCATCTTAGTGTTTATATTGTCCTCGGTTAAACGCAGTTGACCCGAATACTGCACACAGTTTGGTAAGGACTAACTTCTGCGGAACGTTGTGCCACGTGCTATGTCGTATCCGCAAAGGAACGTGCGCCATTGAATATTAGTTTTCTTATAGACTAATTCTGGTTTTGGGGACTTAGTGGTTGGGTTTTAAGAACTTTTCTATTATCTTAAATATTAGAGTTTCTACACATTTCGTCTTTGTCGTCTAGTCAGTCAGGAACCTCACGGCCGCGTTCGGATGCTGCAGCAGCTTGTCCGGGGTATCGGCTGCTGCAGAAGTTTATCTGATCTCCGATCTTTGTTAGGCGGAGATCGCGTTCAATGGTGTCGGTTGTCATGTACCATGACAGGCCGGCAACCTCGCGTGCCGCCTGGGCTTGGACAACTCGGATGTGTATTTGATTAGGACGGATTTTCGTTTAGGGGTTTACAAATTAGGTAGATTTGATGTAATTGGGTTTTTGCCTCTTAAGAGTAGGATGTCGTCTGCGTAGCCAAGCGGGTCGATGCGCGCTGTAGAATTGCAATTTATATATGTTACATAGTAGTCTGGCAAGCAAAAGGTACAGGTAAAGGTACATAATTTGTAATTGATAAATATTTATCGGTTAGTAGACAACAAGTCCAATCCAACTTTTAATTTAGCTCCACATATGGGACATGACTTAAGGCAGCCTATATGAGCTACACATGTCATTTATTATATTTGCTGATGCAGACAAAAAGAAAAATTGTTTCTCTTAGAAAATTGTAATTTGTCGCCCTTAAAAGGGCTTTGTTGGAAAGCAAATTTCATTATTAGAAGTTTGCATATGCTGACGAGTAGCTTGTCAGCTTGCATATCAAATTATTTCTTTGTTGCCTTTGGCTTCTTGGCAGCAGCTTTTTTCGGAGTTGCTGCTGACACGACCTTTTTAGGCTTAACACTTGTGCTCTTAGCCTTTGGTATCTTTGGCTTTGCAGCGCTTGACTTTGCCTTTGCTGTTGTGGGTTTAGCCTTTATGGTTCCTATTTTCTTCGCATCCTTAGCCTTTGCCTTGTCGGCCTTCTTTTTCTCAGCACTCTTCTTGGATGGTGTGGCCTTTGATAGCTTTTTATCAGCGGCACCCACTGCTTTCTTCGTGCTTGACGTAATACTCTTCTTTTTAGTTGCTGCTGCCGAAGAATTCACTTTCTTAGTTTTCTTCTCGACAGCGGAGGCCTTTGGCTTGGGATCCTTTTTAGCGGATGCAGATAGTTTAAACGAACCAGACGCACCCTTGCCCTTTGTTTGGATCAGCTTTCCATTCGCAACCGCATTCTTTAGGTACTTCTTAATGAACGGGGCTAGCTTCTGGGCATCGCACTTGTATGTAGCACCGATATATTTTTTAATTGCCAAAAGAGATGAGCCACCACGTTCCTTTAAATTTTTTATCGATGCATCTACCATTTGCTGAGTTGGTGGGTGCGATGGAGGAGCTGTTGACTTCTTTGACTTCGATGTGGATGCTGCTGCCTTTTTAGTAGCCACCTTCTTCTCGCCTGAGGCTGTTGGGGCAGTCACAGGAGACGCGGATGTTGCAACTGCGGAATCAGACATTTCTTGCTTTTTACTTTACTTCTGTAACCGAAAACACTATTTTGGTGTGAACGCTTTAACTTTAACTTTTATTGGTCACAGTGGGTTTCTTGGTAATACATTTTGGTACCTTATTCAATAGTACAGCCTTGATTGACAAAGTCAGGTTTACTTAATTTTACGATTTATATTTCATTTTGCCTTGTGCTTCTAGCTTATCCAGGCGTTAAGTCTATTACTTATTTTTACTTAAGTTGTAGTTCTTAAAGCTTATGTTTTGGTGTAATTCTATCTGTATGATATATTTATTTATATATTCCTAGGAAAGGCTCATATTGAGTAAAAACCTGGATTTCATTATTTTAATTTTGATTTTGTTGTTTTTGTCTTATAACTAGGTTAATGATTAATAATAGTGAACTTAGGAACTAGTTAACTAGGAGGTAGGAAATTTTTATACAATAGGAGATAGATAGAAAGGGAGAAGATATGTTGCGACAAATAATAAAATGAGCATTTCGTTTTTATTGTCTGATGTTGTATGCAAGTCCATCGCTAGGGTCGATGGACTGCCTTTTTCTATGGTAGAATATTAAGTTGTTCTGGGAGTCGCGTATTATGCCCTTCTCGTTGAGACTGTTTATATGGCTTATGGTTAGATGGTCTGTTGAGAATCCGATCGGGATTCGGACCTGCTCTATGCTATCTAATATCTGAGGGTTTGTGCTGTTTTGATTTCGTTCTAGGAACTTTTCTATTATCTTAAATATGAGGACGTCTACTCGTTTGGTCTTTGAGATCTTGTAGAGTTTTGAGTTCGATATATATCTGTATGAGTGGGGTATGCGGGAGCATTTACCTACGGCACGACGTAGGATGCGTCTTTCAAATAGACGTATTTCTTCCATTTGTCTTGATTTAATATTGAACCAACCTATGTGGCCATGGATTAGGATTGGTTGGATCAGTTTCTTATAGGCTAGTGAACCTATTTTGATTAATTGTGCGTTTGGGTGGGATGGGTTTTCATTTAGGGGCTTGTAAATATGGTGGATTTGGTGTAGTTGGGCTTTTGCTCGCTTAAGGGTCTGTTCGATGTGCTCTTGAAATTTGAGTTTTTCATCATATATAACTCCTAGGTATTTTAATTTTGGTCTTATTTGGATTTCTATATTGCCGTTTATATAGAGTTTAGGGTTAAATTTCCTAGCGTTTTTATATATGTTTTTGAGCCTTGGACCCTTGAATATACATCCCTCGCATTTATTAGCGTTAAGCTTGAGTCGCCATTTAGCAAAGTATTTGCATAATTGGTTTAGATATCTATTAAGGTCCATTTCTGCACTTGCTATCCATGCACCTGAGGATAGTAATAGAATATCGTCTGCGTAGACGAGCGGTTGAATGCGCGCTGTCGAAGTTGAAGTGGGGATCTGTATGAAGGCTGGTAGGTCAGCAAGGTAGATGTTATATAATATTGGTGCTAAAAGGGAACCCTGTGGCACACCTGCGGTTATGTCGCGGATTAGCGATTGTTCTAAGCCGTCTGGGCTGGCGACATAGAAAGAACGGGTTGTGAGGTAGCTATGAATTATACGTGTGGTATTTGGGTTAAAGCGGAAGGTATTGTTCATTTTGTATATGAGTCCGTTCGTCCAGACTGTGTCGAATGCTTTTTCGAAGTCAAGGGCACAGGCAATTGTGGCACGTTGTCTAGCGATATTACTAAATATGAAGCTATTTGCGACAGCTAATGAGTTGCTAATGGACAGGTTGTCCCTGAAACCAAACTGATAGGGTTTGAGTATTTGGTGGGAGTCTAAATGCTTTTTAATTTGTGCCATTAACATTTTCTCGAATAAGAGGCTAATGGCAGAGAGGATTGAAATTGGCCTGTACCCCTGTAGGCTTTGTGGGTTTGCTTTTGGTTTAAGTATAGGAGTTATTCTGCTGCACTTCCAGGCATTTGGGAAGTAGCCCGAATTGAAGCAATGATTGAAGAGAACTGCTAGGTGTTTGAGGACAAACATATTGCAGTGTTTTAGGAGGTAATTGCTACTGCCATCTGGGCCCATGGTTTTTTTGTTATTTTTTAATTTGACCCACTCAAGAAGTTGCTTGGCGTTTGTGAAGCCAAGCTCTTCTGAGTTCTCCCAGTTGCCGTCTGCTCTTCGGCTGGAATCAAAGTTTACTATATAATTGGGCAATTGCAAGGGATTTTGTGCTATTGTGCCTACTCGCCTGTTTATGCGTTCGGTGTGTTGCCTAAGCTCGGGGCTACCATTAGACATGTTGTCATTTTGTTTGTGGACTTGTTCAAATGACCAGGCTAGGGCATTGACTTTTTCGAATTTTGATTTAATAACGGTGGGGACGTTAATGTCAATTTCATTGTGTTCGGTGGCTGTTAGGCGGATGTCGTGTTTAAACGGCTCGTCTGTTTGGTGGTTTGGATTACTACGTCTAAGGGTTTTTAAGCTGATCTTACTCGGACTTATGTACTTCAAGCTGGTTTCTATGTGTCTTAAATTGCTAGTGTGAATGTGACTATTGATTTGGGCTGTGAGGTCGGTGATTAGGGATTTGAGCTGTGATTTGTCGTCGAACGACAGTGAGTACTGGCGCCTAAAAAGGTATCTTCTGATGATGCGCCTCTGTTTGATAAGGGCAAGGCATTGCGCGCTAAGTTTTACAGTATTATAGGGTTTGGATGGGGGTATAGTTCTTTTGGGAATAGCATCTGGCGAGTCCAGTGCAGTGTTTAGGGCGTTATTGAGTTCCTCGATGTGTATGTCTATTTCTTGAGGGGTCAGGTTGGCAGTTCTTGCAATTGGTCTGAGATGTCTTAATAAAACAGAGTTCCATACATGTGTATTAATATTATCGAATTTATAGACTTTTTTTGGGTCGGTGCATAAAAGTTTATATTGGCCTAGTTGAATTTTTAGGGTTACCCCGAGGTGATCTGATGGGAATTCATCTATTATATCACAGAGGGAACTGTTTTCTGTTTGGAGGTCTATAGAGCATATGAAGAAATCTATTGAGGATGGATTGTTGGAGTTATTGGGACGACTAGGTTCCTTGGACGGACAGAGGACCAAGTTGGGTTGTCCTAGAAGCCAGTTTTGAAGTGTTTTACCGTCATTATTTTTGTGGACTGGGCTATAGTGAGGTACATGCCAACTGGGGTGTTTGGCGTTTAGGTCGCAACCTATTATTATTTGGCCACCATTTCCAATACTGTTTAGGGAGTTGAGTAGCGCATTCATGTCGCTAGAAAGAAGAGGGTCTTTGGGACGTTTGTATAATGAGACTGCTATACAGCTTTGGGTGTTTCTGAGCGAGTCTATGTATGAGAGTTTAATTGCCACGGCTTCGATGAAGCGTAGTGGCGAGATATCTATGCGTTCAAACTGTATGCCGTTTTTAATGCATATAGCGACGGACGTACCACCATTTTCTGGGTGGCGTTGCGCATGTCTTGTATGGGTTGCTCTCACATTTTGCCTTATGAATTGGTAATGAGATAGCTTTGCAGTATTTCTGGTGCCTAGACGGTGCTCTGCGATGAGCATGAGGTCTGGCCTATGTCTATTTAGGAATTGGTTAAATTCATGCCTTTTCTGTAGTGAGATGAGTGAATTAACGTTTTGAAAGATGCATTTAAGGGAGGTCATTTTTATTGTGCGATTTGGATAAGAAAGTCTAAAAGTAGAGCTTGTTTTATTTTGCGAGCATCTGACTCATCTTGGGCTTGGCTAGTGGGGTATTTTTTGGTCAGTTTCTGCATGATGTCTATGCAGGTGAAAATGTCTTTACCAAAGGCTTGGACACTATCGCTGTTGATTGTCTCAAGCGAGATACTTTGGGCTTGTGGTTTTGGGGTTAGATTTTTTGTGAGGTGCTTTTTTAGCGCTGGGTTGCTGACAACAATGTTTTTGGGGAGTTCTGCCTGACGGGGATCCGGCATTATCTCAGCTTTTTTTTTAAAAAGCGAGGCGAATGGGACATTATTTTTGATTTTATTTACAGCTGATACTGTAGTGACTTTGGTAACTTTCACAGAGTTTTTTTGTGCGGTGCTACTTCGCTTATTTTCAATCCTAGTAGTGATTGACTGTCTAATCGGGCAAATTTTTGCATTTGCTGTGTGTTGACCCTTGCAGTTAACACATTGGGTTTTGTTACTTTCTGCTGGGTTGTCGGATTTTTTAATGCTGCATTGCCCAGGGGCGTGGTCAGCAGTGCATTTGACGCATCTATATTGCATTTTGCAATTGCTTGCGACATGGCAATAGCGTTGGCAGTTGTGGCATTGTTTTATTTTGTTTTCGGCTTTGAAAGCCTCAATTTTTATTTTGCAGTTAAGCAGACTTTTGATGGAGAAAATTGTTTTGGCTCTTTCTGATTTCTCTATTTGGACCAGCCAAAAATTCTTTTTAAATGGTTTGACGCTAATGATTTTTAGGTCGGAGCAGGTTTCTTGAACTGCTTTCTTAACTTCATCTTCTGTGAAGATTTGCTGAGGTAATTTTTTTATCACTATGGAGTATGGCTTAAGCTCTTTGGGGGTGTAGGTATAATAGCTCTTTTGGGAAAGGTCTAATAGTTTCTTGGTCTCTTGAAAATGTTCGAGGGTAAAGACATTGACATGGGTTCTATTTTTGTTTATTATATTAAGGGTAAAACGCTCATTTTTTATTATTTGTCGCAACATACCTGTCAGTTCCTTAGGATTTACATTATATGTTGCGATGATGGGTAGTTTCGTTTTCTTGCTATATATCTCTTTTGCTTTAGGTGGTCCAGGTAATTCCTTCCTTGGTTCAGTTGGGGCTACCGCAGCGGTTTCCTCCGGCTCTCCATCGACGTCCATACCGTCGGCTGCCTTTGGAGTGGCTGGTTTCCGCCCTTTCGATTTCTTGTTCTTCTTAGGCTTTGAGGGGCCCAGTTCTGGGAACTCGTCGTCTTGCGTAGCTTCATCCTCATCCGGTTGGGAAAGAACAGCAAATTTGTTGCCATCGAACACCTTTGCCGCTGCTTGTATTTTTAAGTTTTTTAGCTGGTCTTTAATTCCTTGAGGTTTCTTTATTGTTGCTCCTGGCATGCTGGCAGAACCGGCTGCTTGTGCCCGGAGACGCATTAGCTCTTCCATTATTGAGTGGTATTCTGCGGATTTCATCCAGACACCATCTTCAGTTGGTCCATCATTTTCCATTGGGTTATTGGTTTCAGATTCCCCGTCTGTGTATTCATCATAGCTTAGAGATGATATTGATGAGGAGCGGCTGCGTTTACCGCATGCGTTCTCCTGCTCGTTACTGAGATCCATTTGTTGTGGTGAATTATTATGTTTAGCACTTGCCATTTTGGTTTTTGTGTACGGCGATTGATGCACTTTTCTTTGGTTTTTAAGGTGCAATGCCGACTTGCTTTTTTGCACTTTAGCACTCCTGTCTATTTCACTTTTTGCGTAGTTTGCGATCGAGTCGCATTGTTTGTCACTTGTGGCCGTATTATATATTTCTGTGTCCATATCACATATATCACTTTTGCCACTTTGCCACCATACAAGATTTCACAGTGTTTTAGGGTTCAGTTTGATGTTGCGTCTTTTCGCACTTGCACTCGCGTTTAACGCGTTTCCACACTCGCGTTTGACGCGACTTCACAGTCACACGTTTGTGCGTTCTCACATTCACGCGTTCGACGCGTTTCCAAACTCGCGTTCTACGCGACTTCACAAATTCACAGGAGACGCGGATGTTGCAACTGCGGAATCAGACATTTCTTGCTTTTTACTTTACTTCTGTAACCGAAAACACTATTTTGATGTGAACGCGGAATGTTTTTGGTATTGAACGGTTGTTACTCAATGCTTTGTCATTACCTTCTTATTAATTTGCCTTTTACAACAGTTTATATTTTGAAATTTAGCTAAATGTGATTTGGAATATGTTGCTAAATATTCGAAAAATAAAGTATATAATTTGCAGTATATTTAACATGATTTTCTGATTTTTAATAACCAGTCAAAGTTTGACTTTAGGTTATGGCGAAATAAGTATCGTATAAAAACAATATTTGCTTATATAAACTTAATGAGATTTGCAGGGTTCAAATTATAAATATAATTTTACAACAATTCTTTAATCAAATACAACTATTAATATAAATTAATCTTAAGTCTACTATTTTTAAATATTCATTGAACATCACCATTGACTATTAAAAACAGGCAAATTTAGAATGAAAGCAACGTAAAAATTGTTCGGAAGAAATCTTATTTTATCTTTTACAGTAAATATATTTAAAATAAATAAAAAAGATGGAAAATAAACATTTAATACACGTTAGTTAACCATACTGTTAATTATTTCATAATAGTTTAATAAAGAGTTCATGAGAAATCGACAAATCAACTATGTTGTGCGAAATCCACCAGCCATTTAGTTGATTTTCGTTGTTCACTGAATTTATCATGTTCTATTCATATTGCGCTTTAGTTAAAATTGATAATGTGTCCCTTGAAATACAATTGATTCAGCTAAAATTAATTTTATTTTCGATGATGTGATCTCAACTGGTGCTCACTGGCAATTGCATTATGCCGCGAACCATAGAATATATGTTCATATGTTCTGTGCCTATAGCGTGTTTAGGTATTATTCAATCAATTTCGGATATAATAAACTAACCAACCTTTTGCTAAGCTTAAATTTTTTTTAATGATTTTGCTGAATTGCAACAAATTTTTTAATTGCCTTCTTTTATGTTCTTTAAACTTATTTAGTCACAATTTAGTTTATAAATTAACTAATTTATTTGAAAATTAGAATCTCTTCGTTAAAAATATTTTGTGGTCCTGAAAAGGACCGATTTGATGGATATTTATGTATTATGGACAAGCCAGTGAATCGACATTTAAGCGCGCTCCCCACGAATACGTCTGGCTAGCTGAATGTCTTTGGGCATGATAGTGACGCGCTTAGCGTGGATAGCACACAAATTTGTATCTTCGAATAGGCCAACTAGGTAGGCTTCGCTAGCTTCCTGCAAAGCCATCACCGCCGAGCTCTGGAAACGTAAGTCAGTCTTGAAGTCCTGAGCGATTTCGCGTACTAATCGCTGGAACGGCAGCTTACGAATAAGCAATTCTGTGCTCTTCTGGTAGCGTCGAATTTCACGCAGGGCAACTGTACCAGGCCGATAGCGATGAGGTTTCTTCACACCACCAGTTGCTGGTGCACTTTTACGTGCAGCCTTAGTAGCTAATTGCTTCCGAGGAGCCTTGCCACCAGTCGATTTACGAGCAGTCTGCTTAGTACGAGCCATTTTTCGTTCACAATTCTAACTTTACACAGTCACGGTTAAAAACACAATAATCATGCGACTCGTTTGTGTATCGCTTATATAGAGAGTTGGACAAAAGATGGAAAGAGAACGATACATTCGCTGTTCGTGCTTTCTGTTATGGGTGTTGCCGAACATGTTATAAGGGTAGTGTGTGAGCGAGGTGGGAATATTATTGTACTCCCTCGAGCATCTGATTTTTTTGGTATAAATATAAGCGCTGGCTGAAGAGCTAGCATTAGTATCTTTGTGGCTTCCGTGGTGTAAAGTAAAATAAAAAGTGAAAAATGACTGGTCGTGGTAAAGGTGGCAAAGGCTTGGGTAAAGGCGGCGCCAAACGTCATCGCAAAGTGTTGCGTGATAATATTCAGGGCATCACGAAACCAGCTATCCGCCGTTTAGCTCGTCGTGGTGGCGTAAAACGTATTTCTGGTCTTATTTATGAGGAAACTCGGGGTGTTCTAAAGGTATTCTTGGAAAATGTTATTCGTGACGCGGTCACATACACCGAACACGCCAAGAGAAAGACGGTCACAGCCATGGACGTTGTTTATGCGCTGAAAAGACAAGGCCGTACTCTGTACGGTTTTGGAGGTTAAAAAAAAAATGTAGAATTTATGTTGACACCAATCGGTCCTTTTCAGGACCACCAATCCGTTTTATTAAAAGAGATCAAAAACATTTACATATAAATCGCAAGCACAGATCATATGATTTTCTAAAATGTGATGCTTTCAAGCGTTTCTCCATCTAAGAGTGAACTACGCTCCCGACGCTGCTCCAGCAATCGACCAGAATCACCGATCGTTTGTTTTACATATTTTGTGCTTGTTTTTATTCTATCCCAAACTTATGGACTCCGCATTGAATGACAATATTGCAATATTTTATTGACTAGTACGTGACTGTACTTTTGAGCTCTAAGATGTACTTTGTATTATTGAATCGATTTCCGATACCTTATTGAATGAAAAGATAATCTCTTTATTGACATTTTTGGTCGTCCTGAAAAGGACGTTTGGTTTCGACTACAAATGTATATGCTGTTTTTTTAGTTTAGTAAACTAGCAAATTATGCCTTCTTTTCAGTCTTCTTGGGCAACAGAACTGCTTGGATGTTGGGTAAAACACCGCCCTGGGCAATGGTGACGCCCGAAAGCAGTTTATTCAACTCCTCATCGTTGCGGATGGCCAATTGCAAATGGCGGGGGATAATTCTAGTTTTCTTGTTGTCGCGTGCAGCATTGCCAGCCAACTCCAAAACTTCAGCGGCCAAATATTCCATAACGGCAGCCAAGTAGACAGGAGCACCGGCACCAACACGTTCAGCATAGTTGCCCTTACGAAGGAGGCGGTGAATACGACCAACGGGAAACTGAAGACCAGCGCGGTTAGAACGCGACTTTGCCTTTCCCTTCACTTTTCCACCTTTACCGCGACCAGACATTTTCTTATTTTCTTTATTTCACTGTTTCACTGCTTACACACAAATATCGAATGTTTCTGACATCCAACCTCATGACTATTATATTTATACTTTTTTCAACTACCTACTTTTTCAGTTTATAGTTGCGAGTTGAACTGGTTTGTAAACATGAAAGCGTCGCTCGAAAAAAAGTATAAATGTTAAGCAACTTTGGGGTGTGTGTCAAACATTTGTGAAGTGAATTAAAGAGAACGTTTGTGAATAATAATGCCGCCGAAAACAAGTGGGAAGGCAGCCAAAAAGGCTGGTAAGGCTCAGAAAAACATTACCAAGAATGACAAGAAGAAGAAGCGCAAGAGGAAGGAAAGCTATGCTATCTACATTTACAAAGTGCTCAAGCAGGTCCATCCTGATACTGGCATTTCGTCAAAGGCGATGAGCATAATGAACAGCTTTGTTAACGACATTTTCGAGCGTATTGCTGCTGAGGCCTCCCGTTTGGCTCACTACAACAAACGCTCGACTATAACCAGTCGGGAAATCCAAACCGCAGTACGTCTTTTGCTGCCCGGTGAATTGGCCAAGCACGCTGTCAGTGAGGGAACAAAAGCAGTTACAAAGTACACCAGCTCCAAGTAAAATTCAGCTACATTATGTACATTGTACGGGAAGCAAACAAAAGCAAAAGGCCCTTTTCAGGGCCACAAATCTCTTTTTCAAGGATTTAAAAATATTTTTAAATATCCGAATATTGTAAATACATATATGGATATATATTTCAGAAAATGAACAATTGGTAATTTCAGAGTACAAGCAACAGAAAGTGGTAGTTTGGTAACCTTATTTTGTTTCTAAAATAAAAAGGATAGCTAAATATCCTTTAGCTACATAAAAGGATCAGTATCCAATACTAAATGAATAACAAGCTTCCGGCTAGTATTTTTTTGCAAAAAATCCATCAGCAATCTCCTGGCATTCTAGCTGAAAAATGTTTAAATAGGCAAACGCATTCAGGAAATTTCAAAACAGTTTCAAGCATGATATTGCAAATGAAATTCGGTGAGAAAAAAATCGTATTTTTTTTTAGATAATCCGGCCGGCCACAATGTGTTGTCCTGGTATGATACACAGATTTTTGTACAATAAACTCAACATATATATAAGAAAATATCAATCTCCTTGTTAAAAGTTTTTTGTGGTCCTGAAAAGGACCGATTTGTTTGATATTTATGTATTTGGGACGAGGTATAACTTAAGCGCGCTCTCCACGAATACGTCTGGCCAGTTGAATGTCCTTGGGCATGATGGTGACACGCTTAGCGTGGATAGCACACAAATTTGTATCTTCGAATACCCTTAGTTGACTTTTTTCGTTATTTAGGCAGTATCTCTTGGAGCACAATTGATGAAAAATTCTGTTTATTATCGGTGATGAGGCCTTAACCAAATGCTTTATACAGCTAATCATAAAATCATCTATACATCTACGTATATATTTTGTCGTTGGTGGAATATAATGAATGAATTTTCGGTTGAGCCTAAAATATGCATATGGATTTATCGTTAAGAGCTACAATGACGTAAAGCAAATATTTGAATGCCTTCTTTGTTTATTATCACATTTTATAAAGCTTTTTAATATATTTATACGAAAATAAGAATCTCCTTGTTTAAAATATTTTGTGGTCCTGAAAAGGACCGATTTGTTTGATATTTATGTATTAGTGACGAGGTATGACTTAAGCGCGCTCTCCACGAATACGTCTGGCCAGTTGAATGTCCTTGGGCATGATGGTGACACGTTTAGCGTGGATAGCACACAAGTTTGTATCTTCGAATAGGCCAACTAGATAGGCTTCGCTAGCTTCCTGCAAAGCCATCACAGCCGAGCTCTGGAAACGTAAGTCGGTCTTGAAGTCCTGAGCAATTTCGCGTACTAAACGCTGGAACGGCAACTTGCGAATAAGCAGTTCCGTGCTCTTCTGGTAGCGACGAATTTCACGCAGGGCAACAGTGCCTGGCCTATAGCGATGAGGTTTCTTCACACCACCAGTTGCTGGAGCACTTTTACGTGCTGCCTTAGTAGCTAACTGTTTCCGAGGAGCCTTTCCTCCAGTTGATTTACGAGCAGTTTGCTTAGTACGAGCCATCTTTCTTTCACAATTCTAACTTCACACAGTCACTGTTAAAAACACACTAATCGTGCGTCTCGTTTGTGTACCGCTTATATAGAAAATAAGTGATAAGTTAGAAAGAGAACGATATATTCGCTGTTCGTCGCTTTGCCGAATATGTTACGAGGGTAGTGTGTGAGCGAGATGGGAATATTTTTTTACTCGCTCGAGTTTTAGATATTTTTGGTATAAATATAAGCGCTGGCTGAAGAGCAAGCATTAGTATCTTTGTGACATTCGTGGTGTACAGTTTACAGTAAAATAAAAAGTGAAAAATGACTGGTCGTGGAAAAGGTGGCAAAGGCTTGGGTAAAGGCGGCGCCAAACGTCATCGCAAAGTGTTGCGTGATAATATCCAGGGCATCACGAAACCAGCTATCCGCCGTTTAGCTCGTCGTGGTGGCGTAAAACGTATTTCTGGTCTTATTTATGAGGAAACTCGTGGTGTTCTAAAGGTTTTCTTGGAAAATGTTATTCGTGATGCGGTCACATACACCGAGCACGCCAAGAGGAAGACAGTCACAGCCATGGACGTTGTTTATGCGCTGAAAAGACAAGGCCGTACCCTGTACGGTTTTGGAGGTTAAAAAAGAAAATGAAGAATTTATGTTGACACCAATCGGTCCTTTTCAGGACCACCAATCCGTTTTATTAAAAGAGATCAAAAACATTTAATTCAAACAACGAAATCGCAAGCGCACAATCATATGATTTTCTAAAACGCGATGCTGTCAAGCGTTTCTCCATCTAAGAATGAACCGCTCCCGACGCTGCTCCAGCAATCGACCAGAATCACCGATGTTCGCTTGTTTTACATATTTTACTTTGTGCTTGTTTTTAAACTATCACACAAACGTAAGACATCCTCATAGGATAAGACAATATTGCACATTTTTATTGACTAGTACGTGACTGTACTTTTGAGCTCTAAGATGTACCTTGTATTATTTAATCGGGTGTCGGATACCTTATTGAATGAAAATATAATCTATTTTTTGACATTTTTGGTCGTCCTGAAAAGGACGGTTGGTTTCGACTATTTACAAATGTGTACGCTGTTTTTTTTTTTAGTTTAGTAAACTAGCAAATTATGCCTTCTTTTCGGTCTTCTTGGGCAACAGAACTGCTTGGATGTTGGGTAAAACACCGCCCTGGGCAATGGTGACGCCCGAAAGCAGTTTATTTAACTCCTCATCGTTACGGATGGCCAATTGCAAATGGCGAGGGATAATTCTAGTTTTCTTGTTGTCACGTGCAGCATTGCCAGCCAACTCCAAAACTTCAGCGGCCAAATATTCCATAACGGCAGCCAAGTAGACAGGAGCACCGGCACCAACACGTTCAGCATAGTTGCCCTTACGAAGGAGGCGGTGAATACGACCAACGGGAAACTGAAGACCAGCGCGGTTAGAACGCGACTTTGCCTTTCCCTTCACTTTTCCACCTTTACCGCGACCAGACATTTTCTTATTTTCTTTATTTCACTGTTTCACTGCTTACACACAAATATCGAATGTTTCTGACACCCAACCTCATGACTCTTATATTTATACTTTTTTCAACTACCTACTTCTTCAGTTTAGAGTTGCGAGTTGAACGGAATGTTAACATGAAAGCGTCGCTCGAAAAAAGTATAAACGTTAGGCAGCTTTGGGGTGTGTGTCAAACATTTGTGAAGTGTATTAAAGTGAACGTTTGTGAATAATAATGCCGCCGAAAACAAGTGGAAAGGCAGCCAAAAAGGCTGGTAAGGCTCAGAAAAACATTACCAAGAATGACAAGAAGAAGAAGCGCAAGAGGAAGGAAAGCTATGCTATCTACATTTACAAAGTGCTCAAGCAGGTCCACCCTGACACCGGCATTTCGTCAAAGGCGATGAGCATAATGAACAGCTTTGTTAACGACATTTTCGAGCGTATTGCTGCTGAGGCCTCCCGTTTGGCTCACTACAACAAACGCTCGACTATTACCAGTCGGGAAATCCAAACCGCAGTACGTCTTTTGCTGCCCGGTGAATTGGCCAAGCACGCTGTCAGTGAGGGAACAAAAGCAGTTACAAAGTACACCAGCTCCAAGTAAAATTCAGCTACATATGTACATTGTACGGGAAGCAAACAAAAGCAAAAGGCCCTTTTCAGGGCCACAAATCTCTTATTCAAGGAATTAAAAATATTTACAAATCCAAATAATATCATATATGTATAATTTGGTTTCTACTGTTCTGGTTGCGTTCTAAGAACTTTTCTATTTAAATTTGTTTCTGTATGAACTGAGTATTGAAGCAGCCGATGTGGCCATTATATATGTAACATAGTAGTCTGGCAAGCAAACACTTAAGATAATACATAATTTGTAATTGATAAATATTTATCGGTTAGTAGACAAGTCCAATCCAACTTTTAATTTAGCTCCACATATGGAAATGACTTAAGGGAGCCTATATGAGCTACACAGACAAAAAGAAAAATTGTTTCTCTTAGAAAATTGTAATTTGTAGCCCTTAAAAGGGCTTATTAGAAGTTTGCATATGCTGACGAGTAGTTAGCAATTTCAAATTATTTCTTTGTTGCAGATGCAGCCTTCGCTTTTGGCTTCTTGACAGCAGTTTTCTTCGGGGTCGTAGCCGACACGACTTTTTTCGGTTTAGCACTTGTGGTCTTGGGTTTTGGGGTCTTTGGCTTTGTTGCGCTTGACTTAGCCTTTGCTGTTGTAGGTTTAGCCTTTATGGTTCCTGTTTTCTTCGCATCCTTAGCCTTTGTCTTGTCCGCCTTCTTTTTCTCAGCACTCTTCTTGGTTGCTGCGGCTTTTGATAGCTTTTTATCAGCGGCACCCGCTGCTTTTTTCGTGCTAGACGTACTATTCTTCGTTTTAGCTGCTCCTGCCGCTGAAGCATTCACCTTCTTAGTTTTCTTCTCCACAGAGGACGGTTTTGGCTTGGGATCTTTTTTGGCAGATGCAGAAAGTTTGAACGAACCTGACGCACCCTTTCCCTTTGTTTGGATTAACTTTCCATTGGCAACTGCATTCTTTAAGTACTTCTTAATGAACGGGGCTAGTTTCTGGGCATCGCACTTGTATGTAGCACTAATATATTTTTTAATTGCCAGAAGGGATGAGCCACCACGTTCCTTTAAATTTTTAATCGATGCATCTACCATTTGTTGTGTTGGTGGGTGTGATGGAGGAGCTGTTGGCTTCTTTGACTTTGGTGTGGATGCTGCCTTTTTAGTAGACACCTTTTTCTCGCCTGAGGCTGCTTGGGCAATCACAGGAGATGCGGACGTTGCAACTGCGGAATCTGACATCTTAACTTCACTTTATACACCTTTAAATTGAAAATTTTCGAAAAAAATTGTATTTTTATGGTGACCCGTTTGAGTGAGAATCGAGGAGAAAGGCGGTACGAGAATGTTTTTGGTATTGAACGCTTGTTACTCAATGCTTTGTCTTTACATACTTGTTAATTATTAATTTACAACAGTTCTTAATGGGAAATCATTATGAATGTGAATTGGAATGTTTTGTTTAATATTCAAACAATTCAATATAAATTATTTAGTATATTTAACATTATTTTATGATTTTTAATTGCAAGTCAAAGTTACACTTTGAGTCTTGGCGAAAAAGGTTATCGAGCAAAAAGCAGGTTTTTTAATAAAAATATAATGAAACTTGAAATATTTGATATATAAATACAATATTTCAACAATTCTTTAATCGAATTCAACTATTAATTTAAATATATCTTAAGTCTACTATTTTAAATATTTATTTAACATAACCCTTAGCTGTTAAAAACAGGCAAGTTGACAATGAAATCAATATAAAAACGGTTCAGATAAATCTTATTTTCTCTTTAACAGTTAATATATGTTAAAAATGAAGGAAAATAAAGATTATTCCAGTTAGCTAAACAAATAGCTATTATAATTGAATCTAAATTAATAAAATATCATGCGAAATCCATATGTCATTTCTGTGTAGCAAAAAATCCATCAGACCCTTAGTTGACTTTTTTCGTTATTTAGGCAGTATCTCTTGGAGCACAATTGATGAAAAATTCTGTTTATTATCGGTGATGAGGCCTTAACCAAATGCTTTATACAGCTAATCATAAAATCATCTATACATCTACGTATATATTTTGTCGTTGGTGGAATATAATGAATGAATTTTCGGTTGAGCCTAAAATATGCATATGGATTTATCGTTAAGAGCTACAATGACGTAAAGCAAATATTTGAATGCCTTCTTTGTTTATTATCACATTTTATAAAGCTTTTTAATATATTTATACGAAAATAAGAATCTCCTTGTTTAAAATATTTTGTGGTCCTGAAAAGGACCGATTTGTTTGATATTTATGTATTAGTGACGAGGTATGACTTAAGCGCGCTCTCCACGAATACGTCTGGCCAGTTGAATGTCCTTGGGCATGATGGTGACACGTTTAGCGTGGATAGCACACAAGTTTGTATCTTCGAATAGGCCAACTAGATAGGCTTCGCTAGCTTCCTGCAAAGCCATCACAGCCGAGCTCTGGAAACGTAAGTCGGTCTTGAAGTCCTGAGCAATTTCGCGTACTAAACGCTGGAACGGCAACTTGCGAATAAGCAGTTCCGTGCTCTTCTGGTAGCGACGAATTTCACGCAGGGCAACAGTGCCTGGCCTATAGCGATGAGGTTTCTTCACACCACCAGTTGCTGGAGCACTTTTACGTGCTGCCTTAGTAGCTAACTGTTTCCGAGGAGCCTTTCCTCCAGTTGATTTACGAGCAGTTTGCTTAGTACGAGCCATCTTTCTTTCACAATTCTAACTTCACACAGTCACTGTTAAAAACACACTAATCGTGCGTCTCGTTTCTGTACCGCTTATATAGAAAATAAGTGATACGTTAGAAAGAGAACGATATATTCGCTGTTCGTCGCTTTGCCGAATATGTTACGAGGGTAGTGTGTGAGCGAGATAGGAATATTTTGTTACTCGCTCGAGTTTTAGATATTTTTGGTATAAATATAAGCGCTGGCTGAAGAGCAAGCATTAGTATCTTTGTGACATTCGTGGTGTACAGTTTACAGTAAAATAAAAAGTGAAAAATGACTGGTCGTGGAAAAGGTGGCAAAGGCTTGGGTAAAGGCGGCGCCAAACGTCATCGCAAAGTGTTGCGTGATAATATCCAGGGCATCACGAAACCAGCTATCCGCCGTTTAGCTCGTCGTGGTGGCGTAAAACGTATTTCTGGTCTTATTTATGAGGAAACTCGTGGTGTTCTAAAGGTTTTCTTGGAAAATGTTATTCGTGATGCGGTCACATACACCGAGCACGCCAAGAGGAAGACAGTCACAGCCATGGACGTTGTTTATGCGCTGAAAAGACAAGGCCGTACCCTGTACGGTTTTGGAGGTTAAAAAAGAAAATGAAGAATTTATGTTGACACCAATCGGTCCTTTTCAGGACCACCAATCCGTTTTATTAAAAGAGATCAAAAACATTTAATTCAAACATAACGAAATCGCAAGCGCACAATCATATGATTTTCTAAAACGCGATGCTGTCAAGCGTTTCTCCATCTAAGAATGAACCGCTCCCGACGCTGCTCCAGCAATCGACCAGAATCACCGATGTTCGCTTGTTTTACATATTTTACTTTGTGCTTGTTTTTAAACTATCACACAAACGTAAGACATCCTCATAGGATAAGACAATATTGCACATTTTTATTGACTAGTACGTGACTGTACTTTTGAGCTCTAAGATGTACCTTGTATTATTTAATCGGGTGTCGGATACCTTATTGAATGAAAATATAATCTATTTTTTGACATTTTTGGTCGTCCTGAAAAGGACGGTTGGTTTCGACTATTTACAAATGTGTACGCTGTTTTTTTTTTTAGTTTAGTAAACTAGCAAATTATGCCTTCTTTTCGGTCTTCTTGGGCAACAGAACTGCTTGGATGTTGGGTAAAACACCGCCCTGGGCAATGGTGACGCCCGAAAGCAGTTTATTTAACTCCTCATCGTTACGGATGGCCAATTGCAAATGGCGAGGGATAATTCTAGTTTTCTTGTTGTCACGTGCAGCATTGCCAGCCAACTCCAAAACTTCAGCGGCCAAATATTCCATAACGGCAGCCAAGTAGACAGGAGCACCGGCACCAACACGTTCAGCATAGTTGCCCTTACGAAGGAGGCGGTGAATACGACCAACGGGAAACTGAAGACCAGCGCGGTTAGAACGCGACTTTGCCTTTCCCTTCACTTTTCCACCTTTACCGCGACCAGACATTTTCTTATTTTCTTTATTTCACTGTTTCACTGCTTACACACAAATATCGAATGTTTCTGACACCCAACCTCATGACTCTTATATTTATACTTTTTTCAACTACCTACTTCTTCAGTTTAGAGTTGCGAGTTGAACGGAATGTTAACATGAAAGCGTCGCTCGAAAAAAGTATAAACGTTAGGCAGCTTTGGGGTGTGTGTCAAACATTTGTGGTGTATTAAAGTGAACGTTTGTGAATAATAATGCCGCCGAAAACAAGTGGAAAGGCAGCCAAAAAGGCTGGTAAGGCTCAGAAAAACATTACCAAGAATGACAAGAAGAAGAAGCGCAAGAGGAAGGAAAGCTATGCTATCTACATTTACAAAGTGCTCAAGCAGGTCCACCCTGACACCGGCATTTCGTCAAAGGCGATGAGCATAATGAACAGCTTTGTTAACGACATTTTCGAGCGTATTGCTGCTGAGGCCTCCCGTTTGGCTCACTACAACAAACGCTCGACTATTACCAGTCGGGAAATCCAAACCGCAGTACGTCTTTTGCTGCCCGGTGAATTGGCCAAGCACGCTGTCAGTGAGGGAACAAAAGCAGTTACAAAGTACACCAGCTCCAAGTAAAATTCAGCTACATATGTACATTGTACGGGAAGCAAACAAAAGCAAAAGGCCCTTTTCAGGGCCACAAATCTCTTATTCAAGGAATTAAAAATATTTACAAATCCAAATAATATCATATATGTATAATTTGGTTTCTACTGTTCTGGTTGCGTTCTAAGAACTTTTCTATTTAAATTTGTTTCTGTATGAACTGAGTATTGAAGCAGCCGATGTGGCCATTATATATGTAACATAGTAGTCTGGCAAGCAAACACTTAAGATACATAATTTGTAATTGATAAATATTTATCGGTTAGTAGACAAGTCCAATCCAACTTTTAATTTAGCTCCACATATGGAAATGACTTAAGGGAGCCTATATGAGCTACACAGACAAAAAGAAAAATTGTTTCTCTTAGAAAATTGTAATTTGTAGCCCTTAAAAGGGCTTATTAGAAGTTTGCATATGCTGACGAGTAGTTAGCAATTTCAAATTATTTCTTTGTTGCAGATGCAGCCTTCGCTTTTGGCTTCTTGACAGCAGTTTTCTTCGGGGTCGTAGCCGACACGACTTTTTTCGGTTTAGCACTTGTGGTCTTGGGTTTTGGGGTCTTTGGCTTTGTTGCGCTTGACTTAGCCTTTGCTGTTGTAGGTTTAGCCTTTATGGTTCCTGTTTTCTTCGCATCCTTAGCCTTTGTCTTGTCCGCCTTCTTTTTCTCAGCACTCTTCTTGGTTGCTGCGGCTTTTGATAGCTTTTTATCAGCGGCACCCGCTGCTTTTTTCGTGCTAGACGTACTATTCTTCGTTTTAGCTGCTCCTGCCGCTGAAGCATTCACCTTCTTAGTTTTCTTCTCCACAGAGGACGGTTTTGGCTTGGGATCTTTTTTGGCAGATGCAGAAAGTTTGAACGAACCTGACGCACCCTTTCCCTTTGTTTGGATTAACTTTCCATTGGCAACTGCATTCTTTAAGTACTTCTTAATGAACGGGGCTAGTTTCTGGGCATCGCACTTGTATGTAGCACTAATATATTTTTTAATTGCCAGAAGGGATGAGCCACCACGTTCCTTTAAATTTTTAATCGATGCATCTACCATTTGTTGTGTTGGTGGGTGTGATGGAGGAGCTGTTGGCTTCTTTGACTTTGGTGTGGATGCTGCCTTTTTAGTAGACACCTTTTTCTCGCCTGAGGCTGCTTGGGCAATCACAGGAGATGCGGACGTTGCAACTGCGGAATCTGACATCTTAACTTCACTTTATACACCTTTAAATTGAAAATTTTCGAAAAAAATTGTATTTTTATGGTGACCCGTTTGAGTGAGAATCGAGGAGAAAGGCGGTACGAGAATGTTTTTGGTATTGAACGCTTGTTACTCAATGCTTTGTCTTTACATACTTGTTAATTATTAATTTACAACAGTTCTTAATGGGAAATCATTATGAATGTGAATTGGAATGTTTTGTTTAATATTCAAACAATTCAATATAAATTATTTAGTATATTTAACATTATTTTATGATTTTTAATTGCAAGTCAAAGTTACACTTTGAGTCTTGGCGAAAAAGGTTATCGAGCAAAAAGCAGGTTTTTTAATAAAAATATAATGAAACTTGAAATATTTGATATATAAATACAATATTTCAACAATTCTTTAATCGAATTCAACTATTAATTTAAATATATCTTAAGTCTACTATTTTAAATATTTATTTAACATAACCCTTAGCTGTTAAAAACAGGCAAGTTGACAATGAAATCAATATAAAAACGGTTCAGATAAATCTTATTTTCTCTTTAACAGTTAATATATGTTAAAAATGAAGGAAAATAAAGATTATTCCAGTTAGCTAAACAAATAGCTATTATAATTGAATCTAAATTAATAAAATATCATGCGAAATCCATATGTCATTTCTGTGTAGCAAAAAATCCATCAGACCCTTAGTTGACTTTTTTCGTTATTTAGGCAGTATCTCTTGGAGCACAATTGATGAAAAATTCTGTTTATTATCGGTGATGAGGCCTTAACCAAATGCTTTATACAGCTAATCATAAAATCATCTATACATCTACGTATATATTTTGTCGTTGGTGGAATATAATGAATGAATTTTCGGTTGAGCCTAAAATATGCATATGGATTTATCGTTAAGAGCTACAATGACGTAAAGCAAATATTTGAATGCCTTCTTTGTTTATTATCACATTTTATAAAGCTTTTTAATATATTTATACGAAAATAAGAATCTCCTTGTTTAAAATATTTTGTGGTCCTGAAAAGGACCGATTTGTTTGATATTTATGTATTAGTGACGAGGTATGACTTAAGCGCGCTCTCCACGAATACGTCTGGCCAGTTGAATGTCCTTGGGCATGATGGTGACACGTTTAGCGTGGATAGCACACAAGTTTGTATCTTCGAATAGGCCAACTAGATAGGCTTCGCTAGCTTCCTGCAAAGCCATCACAGCCGAGCTCTGGAAACGTAAGTCGGTCTTGAAGTCCTGAGCAATTTCGCGTACTAAACGCTGGAACGGCAACTTGCGAATAAGCAGTTCCGTGCTCTTCTGGTAGCGACGAATTTCACGCAGGGCAACAGTGCCTGGCCTATAGCGATGAGGTTTCTTCACACCACCAGTTGCTGGAGCACTTTTACGTGCTGCCTTAGTAGCTAACTGTTTCCGAGGAGCCTTTCCTCCAGTTGATTTACGAGCAGTTTGCTTAGTACGAGCCATCTTTCTTTCACAATTCTAACTTCACACAGTCACTGTTAAAAACACACTAATCGTGCGTCTCGTTTGTGTGCCACTTATATAGAAAATAAGTGATACGTTAGAAAGAGAACGATATATTCGCTGTTCGTCGCTTTGCCGAATATGTTACGAGGGTAGTGTGTGAGCGAGATAGGAATATTTTGTTACTCGCTCGAGTTTTAGATATTTTTGGTATAAATATAAGCGCTGGCTGAAGAGCAAGCATTAGTATCTTTGTGACATTCGTGGTGTACAGTTTACAGTAAAATAAAAAGTGAAAAATGACTGGTCGTGGAAAAGGTGGCAAAGGCTTGGGTAAAGGCGGCGCCAAACGTCATCGCAAAGTGTTGCGTGATAATATCCAGGGCATCACGAAACCAGCTATCCGCCGTTTAGCTCGTCGTGGTGGCGTAAAACGTATTTC